ATAGTATCCCATTTCCTCAACCTAGAGACTAAGATGGTAGCTTTGGCTACTTGTTGGACTACCATTCCTTAGTCAATAGATCGAGAGGGTCCCATTAGTGGCTTGGATCGTATCCCATATCCTCGACCTAGAGATTAAGAGGGTAGCCTTGGTCACTCGTTAGACTTCCTGCGGTTTTTGACCCACTAACCACACACGGTCATTCGATTCTTCAAGTCGTAATTCTCAGCTAGGGGGAGCAAATTCCGGGTGAAGCCTTCTCAATTAGTGTCAAATCCATTTTACCTTTGCAAAAAAATTTAGCTTTAGACATTTGTTTTCACCAAAACTCATTCGCTAGATAATGTTTTAAACAATCGAAGTAGCGGTACATAGGCCGACCCGGGTCGATATTTAAACATACTTGCCCTATATTGCACCCATCTAAGGTTTATACTTGGTTTAGGTGGGATTTTCTTGTGGTATTCAGAGCGAGTCAACTGGATTGATCGTGAAGTCGCAATCGGGCTGTGCCATGCATTTTGCTTTCTTGTTGGATTTTCCTTGCAGCAATAATCAAGCTGAATATGAAGCTTTGGGGGTGAGTTGGAAATTTTCATCGAGTCGGGAGTCCGCGACATGAATATTAGGGGGATTCGCAACTTGTGGTCCATGAATATTTTCATTGTATCAATAGTATTTTGGAAACATATTTGGACCATATTTTTTCGTTAATCTCCCACTTTGATAATAAGGTAATCAAATATATTCCTCAAGCAAACAACAACGAAACCAAATATCTTGCACATATGGCTTACGCAAACGTTTGAAAATTGAGCCAAAGATATGCCAATTTGAGGACGCTAATGACTGCCATGCACCATTGTTGGTTTACTTAGAAGGTCCAAACATAGAGGTTGAACACATTGTCAAGTTTAGAGCAAGATGCTATATCTTTTTGGATAGAACGTTGTATAAGTACAGACCTGCTAGCTTGCAGATGAAATGCTTGGGGGCAAGGAAGATTTGCAAGAAATGGCAAAGGTGCACGAAAGAATCTATGGAGCCCACCCAGTTGGTCCTTCCATGGGATTGATTCTGCTCGTTACCATTACTATTGGCCCACTATTGGTCCTGACTGTGCTGGCGTTTGCTAGGGGTTGTGCAACTTGCCAATGCAACGACCCTGTTTAAAGCAATAGGTTTTCATAATTTTTTCTATTGACTACTTCACGAATTGGCTAGAGGGAAAACCTCTGAAAGTTGTGAATCAAGAGGATATCATCTATTTCATACCAAGAAAACATTATCCATTGATATGGTTTGCCGGCAACAATAACGGCGGACTAGGGAACTATGTTCACTGGGGGGAGATTAAGGAGTTTGCCACAAAATGGTGTATAGAAATTATTCATTCCACTCGATACTATGCACAAGCTAATGGAAAAGCGGAGACATAAAACTAGGTTGTGAAGAACATCTTGACCAAAATGATCGAGGACAATAAAAAAAAGTGGCACGAAGTTTTATTAGAAGCTATGTGGGCATATAGGATCTCACCACGCAAAAGTACAAGAGTGAGCTCTTTCTCGTTGACTTACTGTCATGAAGCATTCCTTCCTATGGAAGTGACTGTCAAATCACTCTAGTACATGAAGCAACACAGGTTAACACCCCACAAGTATCATGAATCAATGATGCTCGAAGACCCTGTTTAAAGCAATAGGTTTTCATAATTTTTGTTATTGACTACTTCACGAATTGGATAGAGGGAAAACATCTGAAAGTTGTGAATCAAGAGGATATCATCTATTTCATACCAAGAAAACATTATACATTGATATGGTTTTCCGGAAACAATAACGGCGGACCAGGGAACTATGTTCACTAGGGGGCAAATTAAGGAGTTTGCCACAAAATAGTGTATAGAATTATTCATTCTTCTCCATACTAAGCACAAGCTAATGGAAAAGCAGAGACATACAACTAGGTTGTGAAGAACATCTTGACCAAAATGATTGAGGACAATAGAAAAAAAAAGTGGCACGAAGTTTTATCAGAAGCTATGTGGGCATATAGGATCTCACCACGCAGAAGTACAAGAGTGAGGTCTTTCTCGTTGACTTACTGTCATGAATCATTCCTTCCTATGGAAGTGACTGTCAAATCACTCTAGTACATGAAGCAACACAGGTTAACACCCCACAAGTATTATGAATCAATGATGCTCGAAGACCCTGTTTAAAGCAATAGGTTTTCGTAATTTTTGTTATTGACTACTTCACGAATTGGATAGAGGGAAAACATCTGAAAGTTGTGAATCAAGAGGATATCATCTATTTCATACCAAGAAAACATTATACATTGATATGGTTTGCCGGAAACAATAACGGCGGACCAGGGAACTATGTTCACTAGGGGGCAAATTAAGGAGTTTGCCACAAAATAGTGTATAGAATTATTCATTCTTCTCCATACTAAGCACAAGCTAATGGAAAAGCAGAGACATACAACTAGGTTGTGAAGAACATCTTGACCAAAATGATTGAGGACAATAAAAAAAAAAGTGGCACGAAGTTTTATCAGAAGCTATGTGGGCATATAGGATCTCACCACGCAGAAGTACAAGAGTGAGGTCTTTCTCGTTGACTTACTGTCAAGAAGCATTCCTTCCTTTGGAAGTCGCTGTCAAATCACTCTAGTACATGAAGCAACACGAGTTAACACCCCCATGAGTATCATGAATCAATGATGCTCGAACTCAGCGATGTGGATAAGTTGTCGTTCCAAGCGCTCGATAACATTCAAGTGCAGAAAGCAAGATTCGCAAGAGCTTATACAATAAGAAGGTTATGCATAAGTCATTTGAGGAGGGAGAGCTTGTCTGGAACGTCCATTTGCTCTTAGGAGAGAAAGATCGTAAGTTTGGAAAATGGTCACCGAATTGGCTTGGTCCACTCATTGTGCATTTTATGCGCCCCTAACGGGGCCTGCCTACTAAAGTATTTGGATGGAGTGATGCATGAGCGTTTAATAAATGATAAGTATCTAGAGTCGTACTTTGTCGAGTTGTCGTAGAATAGCGATTCTCTTTCTTCTTATGTTTCCATCTCATCAAATGTTAGTAGGTTGTTTTATTTTAATCATTATTGTGCCCAAACACAAAAAGATTGTTCGATCGTCATAGCATTGTTGCACAAAATCAAACTCAATGTGGTTTTTGCAAAGTCTAACCATGACGCTTCCTTGGCCTCAAACATGTGAAAGCTAAAATACAACGTCTAGAATAGTCTAAGAAATACTGGCTAGCTATTTTTTTATTTTAAAAAATCAAAACTACAGCCATGTGGTGCTACAAGTTGTACCGGCGTTGTAACAAGAAGAAGAAACCAATGTTATTTTTTTTTGTAAGGGTGATACCATTTTATTAATTTACAATGAAAAAATTTTAGACAAAAATACACATGTTTGGTAAACATGGAGGAGCGAGAGTTGCTGGAGAAGGAACTGGAGGTGCAAACCCTAGATCACGCAAGCACAACAGTAGGAGCCCTTTACGTTGGGTCAACCTACCCGGTTGAGTTGGTTGATAATTGAGGCAGAATGAGCCTTCCTTGGGCCCGATTGTATAGTAGGAGTTAAGGAGGGAGTAGTTGGGCTCATGATGGATAGAGAGGATATGCATAATGGGCTTAGGCTTACTCTGGGCCAAGAGAACTAATAGAGTGGGTTGAACAACAGATTATTTATGGGCCAAGTCGTCAAGGAGAACTTGGGTTTCAAATGAGCCGCTGAAAGTGAACTTGGGTTGCGACAGATTGATGCTTAAAGACGGATTATTGTACGAGAAGGAAGCGAATAGTGGGCACATGAAAGTGAAAGAATTTAAGTAAAAATCAATAAAAAAATTATCTTTGCAAACCTTAAGCTCTCTCTATCTCCTAATTTCTCTTCTTCCCTAATCCAAAACTTCGGCCGATTCTTATTCTTTTATTCTACTTCCCCAAATTCTCAATTCCAATCACCCAACACTACCAATAGAATCATAGAATTATGTTTACGTACGCAGTTGGTGACTCGTTGTGCTAAGTCAGGGTCGATAATGGATTAGCGAACCACGCTGGTGTGGAGTGGCATGGTTTCAGATTCTGCTCTGTGCTATGCAATCCATTCTTCCTGGTCAACAATGTCAACAGAAAATTACTATTATGCAGAAAATTCTAGTTATGTACTAGGTAAGTTGATAAATCAACTTTACTACTGGGAGTGATTGGCGGTCTGGATCAGTTGCATCATTACTCTCCCTGCAGGAACAGGTTTGTTAACGTGGTTATTTTGTTAGCCTGTCCCGGTCGCCGTAGAAAGCGAAACCAAGGACACAAGGACCAGGAAAAGATTGGGGGGAGCAGGAAAGTTGAGGACCAATCACTACCCAACCCAACCCATAGCTCTGCTTTATTCCACCATACATACCTGCCATTTCAAGCATCCATGACCTTCGACCACAACTTTTGTCTCCCTCTCTATCCGACCTCACATAACCCTCCATTATTAAGCCCGCCACGTCATGGTCCTACGTGCCAAAACAGTCCCATAAGAACCTCAATTCCATGTACTCCTTTCTTCCCATTCACACACCTCAAACACAACACCTTCACAACCAAATTTGAGGTAACCAAACTTTTTTGGTATAGGGTCATTGCACCAGACCAGACCAGTCCGTCTCTCCTTTTTATCACAAAAACAGGACAGCCCCACAAATGATAATCCGTGTGGTGCAATGTCTTTGACTCTCTCTCTCTCTCTCTCGACCATAAAGCCAAACCCACCACCTTTTCTCCAGTGATTGGAAGCCCAAACGAGAAAACCCTTTTTCTCCTTGGTTATCATTACGCTTCCCCTTTTCTCATCATTACACTAAATATATATTTATCCTCCCTTCCTAGTTCCTCCCCATTCTCCTCTTTTAAGCTAATCTTATTCTTAGTTAACACCTAGCCTTAGCCATGTCCACGAAAACCATGAACAACTCTACAGTAGTCAGCAGCAGAAAGGAAAGATTCCTCCACAAACTCAAGCTCATCGGCCTAGTCCCACAACCTCAAACTAACTACCTGCACCTCAAGAAAACTACTCCACAAATCAAAGAGGCAGAAGAAGAAGAACACCATGATGAAGTGGCGGCGGTGAGGTGTCCGCCAGGTGGAGCCGAGGCTGCGATCCTCTACACCACGAGCTTACGGTCCATACGGAAGACTTTCGAGGACTGCCACTCCATCCGCTTCCTGCTGCAGAGCTTCAAGGTGGCGTTCCAGGAGCGCGACGTGGCGATGGACTTGGGGTTCAGGGATGAGCTGTGGAAGGTGATCGGCGGCGGCGGGAGAGTCGTCCCGCCGCGGCTTTTCGTCAGAGGGAAGTACATAGGGGGAGCTGATGAGGTCATCACTCTGCATGAACAGGGGAAGCTGAGGAAGCTGTTCGATGGAATCCCGACGGTGGGTTTGCCGGCAGGCAATTGCGGCTGCGCCGGCTGTGGCAACTTGAGGTTTGTCGTTTGCACCAATTGTAATGGTCGCCGGAAGGTGGTGGCGATCGGCGGCGGGGATCGGGAAGGTGGTGGTGGTGGGGATTTTGTTAGGTGCTTGGAGTGTAACGAGAATGGACTTATGAAGTGCCGCATTTGTAGCTGAAGAAAGTACGTACTATCTCGAACGCTATAATGTGCATTGGTATGTGGTAGTGGGTAGCTGTTTGTTAGTGTAAAATAATGAATGGTATTCTAATTCTAGGACGTGTTAGTAAAATGGTAAAATTAAGATTTGGTGATTTTACGTGCGTGTGTCATGTGTATTTTTGACAATTCTTCATCCTTAATCCAATCTTGATAACGTTGTATTATTATTATTTTTTTTCATTGTCTTCCTCCAATCTACATGATGTTTTAGTATTGTTCGGGTGCATTATTTTATAGGTAGGACTCTATGTTGAAGTTACACATATACCCTCTTTCATGAAGGCGTGATCATTAATTCAATTATAGTTTCAGTTTTTTAGCTTATTTGAAGGACACAGTCTGGTGGGTACTTCTTATAGTCTAATTCAATTATAGTTTCAGTTTTTTGGCTAAGTGACATTTCTTCTCCAAAATCTATATTTTTACTATAAAATCATATTTATTTTACAGAGATCGTTGGATAAAGAAAAGAACATCGACACCGTTAATAAATTAACAAATGAAAAAACAACTAATAGTCTAATACCCATTATATTTGGTATTCACCTATTTTGTTCTAACTTGAAGTCAAACATCAATATTGGGGTGGGGGGAATTGACATGAATTTGGGTTATTGTTTGAGAGGCAAAGAATATAGAACGGTGGAGGGTTTTGGAATGATTGCAAGAGAAGGATAATGATGGGGATTGCACATGGGGTGAGGGAAATTCTTCTGGGTGCATAAGATAATTGAGGCAAAGCATGGTGGGTCAATAAGAAAAGGTTGATTGGTGCCATAAAGGAAAAGAGTGGTGGTGGAGGTGGTTGCCGATGAGATGGGGATTAGTTGAGTTTCGGATGATGGACCTACATTTTACGCCAATGTACATTAGGTACTCATGTACTTCTCCTTCTACTAATTAAGGGTTACTAAGGACTTCATAATCAAATTTCAGTGCTCTTAGTAGATGTTCGTAAACTATAATTTTATGTGTGTGGTAGCACTCATACTTTTTTCATTTCTTTCGTTTTGGTCAAAACTAAATTGCAATCAACGAGAACGACTCTTAATTGATCATTGATCTGTGTAACATTTGGAAAATTGACAATAAAAAATTATTTAGATATTGTACACACTATAATCAGGTTAATTTCTTTCTTTGGTCAAAATCTATAAAAGAAAGTCTCAGCAAACACACTAATTCTTTGCAACTAATTGTGACTTAACCTAATTAGCAATACTCAATGGATTTTCTGACAAGAATGAACAAGCTTTTCACTCACTAATAACCAACCTAAGCGCTAATGAAACCATGCCAACTGAACATAACCAGATACCTAACGCAATAGAGCCAGGTTCTTAACCAAATATATTATTATCTAACAACTAGTAGTGACGACCAAAATGGCCAAAAGGCTAGGAGGAGAGAGGATAGAGCTAAACCACATCAGAAAACATTCAAAAAATCAGGGCCACTATGTACAATCTTTGTAGTTGTTCAACAATATAACACGATCACCCATCAAAGGTAGCTTGGAACCTCAAGCATAGTAGTACTAACAAAATGCATCGATTAGGGAGGGTCGGGGTTGCCATAACTCTAACATACACTACAAGAAAATTCAGTTTTTGCAACGAAATCCGTCGCAGAAAGCCTATAAATTAACATACTTCCGTACAATTTTGCTTTTAGGGTGCATCATGATGATTTTCCGAGAGTACATTTATCTCGTCATTACTTCGCACATTACAAGAACTCATCCATTTCACGCCAAAATGCATCTTGTCAATTATGATTGGATGGTTTCTTATGAACCATGGCTATCTCTCATGCTTTGTCGACATGAGATATTCATAACCATAATGCATCCCAAAAGTAAAATCATGTGGGGTAAGTCTAAAGCAAACAATATAATAGTCAGGATAAAGGGTTGAGATGTTAAAAGTGGTATCATAGCCTCTTCGCACCTCTGTTGAATAGTGGATGGGCAAACCTCAATGAAGACTTTGAGTCCAAAAGGGGAGTAATTTCACACCTTAGGCAAACTCACATCGAAAATATAACGGGAGAGGTAAATGGTACACGAGGAAAAATCTAACATTGCCATCATCATCTAATGTTCTCAACCTCCATCTTTCTAAATCTCATCATGTCCAGCTAATCTTCTATTTATTTCAGATTTGATGAACCCTAATTTGTTTTACATGGACTGAGTGGTATCTTTAATATAGACGTGTTGTTCTCGTTCTTACGATCTTTTCTCGACTTATCATGTGCAAGTATCAATAGTACATGTCTATTGTATATTTTGTCTGATGCATGTAAATGAGACTGCAAGGTAATTTTGCATGTTAGATCTTTCGTGAAAAGATGGAAGTATCGGAGCCACCGGCGATGGGGTCACGTAGTTCTTCTAGATTACCTTAACAAACTAATACAAAAATTCACAAGTCTGGCAAATGCTTTGGTTTAAGAGTCTTGTAAGCCAAGGTTTCACTTGATTCTTAAGTCAAAAGAATGTTAAAATATGTGTGAACGGGTTAACACTAAATTGGGAATTTTCATAGTCTAAGGTGAACACTCGTCTATGTTAAATTCAACTTTTCTGTAAAATGTATATTATAGGGATTCGCTTCTGGGTCAACGTCTTCTCCAGTTGATTTTACTTTGAAAATTATTCTATTGTGTTTTTATCATAGCATGTGCTTTTATATCTTAACAAAATCACTAAAAACGACTGACTAAATAATAGGTAAAATCCAAATACTAGTACACGTAGTCTTTGTGGATACGACCTTTCTTCCTGCTATACTTCCCTAGATCGATAGGTACTCTTGCCTATTTTTCCTGTGTTAGTTACGGGAGATCAACTGCCACACTTGGTATCGATATAGGCTACTAGGATTGATGCTTACACCTCAAATGGATGCAAGCTTGAGCTAATTAGGAACTCATTCGAACATACAAAAGACACCATAAAGAAATCAAACACAAAAGATAGAAAGAAACGTCGAGCATATTATACAAGAATCGAAAATAGAAAGTTATGAATTTCTAAGGTTTGCAAACCTATGCAACTAAGGGGACTAGTCGGATCATGGGGACGAGAACCATGGATTCATCATTCTAAATGAAGATCCCATGAAGTGTCTAAAATCGGCGCCCTGAACAAAGAAGTTGGGGACTAGGCTGACGATTCCCTTTTGGTGACCGTTGTCGTTCTAAGTCATGTGGATCATTATGTCGACAGAGTAACGACCCTCTAATGCCTCCTATCACTAGCTACCAAACTCCCCCCCCCCCCCCCGGGAAGTCTATTTATCAACTTCTCCTTAGAGATTTGGTAGAGAGAGGATGATTAGACGACACTTTTGACTCCCCTTATGTTTCTTCTAGCTTAGCCATCATGTAGAAGAATTTGGAAACTTATGGTCGATCTTCAAATGGCACTTGTATCGCCGATTTAGAGGTAAGGATGCAGTTTTGTGAGTCGTTTCAGTCATCTCTCCATTTCCTCTGGCTCCGAGTAGTAGAGCCCTAATGTCCCTACGATGATCCAATGGGGGTCCACTAGGTTGCTATATCCTGAAAACACAGAAACACTAATATGAGTGCATCAAACTGATAAAAACAAGTCTAATGCTTCTAGAATATACTTTGGTTGATGACGAAACAAATTCAATATATTATGACGTTAAAGTATGAAAATCATGAAAATAGATCATTAGGGGTTCGAAATAATAATTTTTATTCAAACGACTGCAACCCCTAATGGGCGTCTACATTATTATCTTTGCCTTTTCTTTCCAAAAGGCCAAGAAAATGAAGAAATAAACAACAACAAAGACAAAAAAGACTGTTGCAATGCCTCTATCTCTAATGAATATTTCCTATGTCGTCTCTCTATTCTTGAATTTCAATATGCTATCGCGAGTGGCTTTTGACAAGCTGACCGTAGACTATCATAACACGTCAAATGTTTTTTTTTATAAGGATGATATATATTGCTTTATTAATGACAAAAAGACATACAACACAGGACACACCAAATCGGTAATCCCACTATACGGAAACAAAACAGAGAACGGAAAAAGAAAGAGTGCAGGGTTCCCAAAACAAAATAGAGACCTAGATAAAACAGGGTGGCAATAAAAGAAACTTAACCACACTGCAAATCCGCGGAGAAAACCATTAAGGCAACTACAAGAGATTTACAAGCAGGCAAAGCAAATCAGAAGAGGTTCATTGGCCTAGTTGGGGTGATCGACTAGAATTGGGAAGCAGCCTGCTCTTTAGAGTCGACAGCCATAAATAAACCACTTATTTGTCGACTTTGTCGACCGCGAATACCCAATTGAAAATTAGGCGTCCAATACGAAATGATATGACTCGAGGGGAAGCTGCCTCCCTAATGAAGATTCTAGAGTTCCTTTCCAACCATAAAATCCAACATTAGGCATGAAGGAAGACCTTAGTGCACCAATGCCAGGGGCTGGAAGGCTTTCGATAGTACCACTGCTTAATCCTTGCTGCAATATCATCATTATCATTGATCCTGTTTTTCAACATGACGAAAGTGCTCATCGTCCGCCAGATTTTCTTCGAAAAACAACAACCAATGAATAGGTATTGGGATTTTCCTCCTCATTTTTACAAAGGGCGCATCTGCTTGGTAATTGAAATCCCTTCTTTTTAGGTTGTCATGGGCGATGAGCCTTTTGTGGAACACAATCCATAAGAAGATGCAGACTTTACTCGGAACTATCTTTTACCACACAACCTTAACGGGGAAGTCACCACTTTCGTTGAATCTAGTTGCTGTCAAGTGATCATACGCCGACTTCACACTTAAACCAGCAGAAGCGGCTGGAAGCCATGTCAATCTCTCAGGATCTGCAATAAAGTTAGAAGAAGAAAAATTATCAAGTAAGATCATTAAGCACTCTCTCTCCCTCTCTGCCCCACCATGAAGAA